TATTTATTCTTTGTTAGTGATGATATAGGTTTGACCTCATAGAATATGACTATTAAACCAAATAATTAATGATATTGCTCGTATGATCTACCAGAAATTCTGCTTCAATCAATTCAATTCAAATCAGAATTCATTATGTAGAGTTACAGCTAAGCAGAAATAAGCCGAGGTCGTTTCATACAAAATAAATTCAAAATGGCAACAAAATCGTAAATGTATTATTCAAAATCCGACAGACAAAAAGTAGACGATTATACAACAGTGCTCGAAATATTTTAATATTTGAATTTATGAAGCATTGACTGGCATTGTTTTTATTTTCGTTCGGTTTTTTACGTATTGTGACTAGATCTACTTGTCTATTGAAGTTTCAAATAAAAATACCGGTTTATTTGTTTGTCGAAAGGCAATTCAGCACAGCACTGGATTTTTGTTAGCTATTGTTAGAAGTTTATTGTAGGGAACAAACTTATACCCAAGGTTTTAATTAATTTATTATAACTAACATTAAACAAATTATTTACACTTTTTATCAAAATAATTAAAAATATGATTTAACACATTGCTATGAAATCTGTGAATATTTTGTTATTATGTATTGAATTGTGTCTAGCAATATTTAATACAAGTGTGGTTCTCTTAATATCTGTAGGGGTTATGTCGCAACCTTTTGGATCGCGCAGTACAAAATGTATTCATTGCGATCGCTGTGTCGCATCGCTATTGAAAGTTACAGAGGAAGGGATCGGATTTTAATTATTCCGCGTAAATTTTGGGATTAAAAGTACCCTTCACGATTTTAGTATCTCTTTTTCCTTCAAAGCAAAATATTGTCATACTGACCCGACACAATATTTATTTATATATGCATTGCAGACTGATAAAGTGTATTGCTTCTATTCTAACAATATGTCTTTCAAACTATTGCTGATATTTATACTTATGCTGTTTTATCGTAATAAATGTATATAAGATAATTAAAAGTTTAGAACAGGAATTAAACACGCGTAAAGAATGATAAAACAAGATTAAAAATGTTAAAAGAAATGTCTCGTACAAAATAGTTTTAGCTGGTAGCTACGTTAAATGACTGAGCTACAGAATTTTTAATTTCCACAAACCATTTAATTTCTGCCTTGATAACTTGTAACTTTTAGGAATGTATTTAAAATGTTTGTATAAAGGGAATCGTTGTTCGGCTTACAATATCATATAATTTTTCTTTAATTATAGTTTTTGCTTTAAAAATATACAGGACGTAGAAAAGATAGAGAAAACTTTATTATGCACTATAAAAAGGATATTTAAGTAAGAATAAAGTGCACTAGCCCCCGTTAACGGTACTTGACAATAACTTATACATTTATAATTGAACTATGCACAGTAAGAATATTTTCTGTTTCAGCACAGGACAGCCTTGCGATTCTGTAACTCACTTTTCGACTGATTTGACCGCGACCGCCGCTGTGAAAACCGCTGTGTGAGTTCGAAAAGTGAGTAACAGAATCGCAAGGCAGGTTAAGAAAATATTGTTTAAGATTGTTAGTGAATGTATGTAATGTGAGTTTTGAAACGTTAGTGAAAATTTTGGTTTTAACAAAGTGGTTAAAACTGAAAGGAGAAAAAGCGTTGGGAGGAGAAAGTGCGTTTTATGGGTTGCTTATATGTAGATTTTCGTTGTGTATGATGTGGTGTGGCTTTGTTTCAAAAAAAGTCTACATAAGTCAATGATATATTTAAGATTACTTTTACCAGAAATATCATTACGCAAAGCCGATTTTCTTTAAATAATTGCAATGGTATTTTTGAATAAGTCGCGTCTGCTTCTAGTCGGCATTTCAAACCGAAAAACCATAGACTGTTATCGGAAATAATAAATAAGCATAATAGAATTTATCATACATACAACCTGTTTTCGTTTAATTCACCAGACGGATGACAATTCAATCTGAATGCTTTTAGCTACACAAATCGGCCATTACTTAAGGGTTCGGGTATACTACAGAGAAATCTACTTTAACAATACAATATTCATGAGAAAATTCAGGGGAACGCATTCTTAGACAGGTTATTTATTTAGCTTGTGTTTTGTTTAATTTTATTTCTTTATAATAATTATGGACCTTTTGCTCGATACTTAGTGTTACATAAAGGAATACAGTATATTTAATGGACATATATTTAATAAACAACACGTACTTGCTACAAAACGTGCGAAACGTCCGGACATTTTTATAATTTAATTCAAAAGAATTGTACAATGGTGCTAATTGAACGCTTTTGAATTTATGTTTTTCTTAATGTTTTGAAATGAGCGTCAGTAAAAATAATATTATGTTTATAATTATATAATATTTTGATTTTGGTAAGTCGCAAATATTCAGTGTAATTATTACCTAAATATAAAATCGCTGTATGGAAAATCAATCATGGATAGAATAAAAAAATATACCGTAAAACGTATATACCAATTTACCTACCTGCAAAATATCATCCGCATATGAAAATTATTAAGCGCATAAAAGCTTTCAAAAGCACAGTAATCAGTATTCAAAGTGTTATTAAGCCCAACTCTTTCGAATACTGAAATACAGGTTTGCAGGTGTTCAATGAATGCGGATTATACTGTCAATATCAACAAATAACTTTGCTTATTATACAGTATTACCAAATAAAACACGTTTGATTAGGGTGTATAATTTAACTTGCTTTACAGAGTTCGTGGTCATGGCGTACATATTAATATTTATATCTGAAGTATTTTAACGTAAAATAAAATAAAAAATCTGAGCAAATCTATAGATATTAGCTTAAATGTATAAAGTATATTTATTATTATATTTTGTTTCATACTTCATACTTGCGGCACAATTGCGGTGCCTAATCTGTTTTTAACAATTCATAGCATTCTTTTAATTATGTCAATTAAAAACTAAATCATAACGGGTGCATCTATTAAATAGTGGTATATTTTTACAGAACGGGCTGAAGGTGCCCATAGACGCACACTGCGTTGCGTTCGTTTCATTTACAAAATAAATGAGTACAAAACGCTTCTATGTACATTTCAATAACCAGAGGTGATAAAAATAAAAGGACACATCATTACTACATACGAGTATATCCATCTATTTTAAAAGTACGTTTATCGCTGCAACTCTTCGTACTATGCTCTGTTGTATAAAGTTTTAAAACGAAACTCGTAGAACAAAAGAAAGCAGGAAACTATTCAAATGAAGGTACGAGAAGAACAAATATCTTAAGTTCACGTCAAGTTAAATCTCTTAAAAGTTTCAAGCGAAACGATCGGACCCACGTCAAAAAGTAATCTTTAAGGTATCTCATGTTGTTTGTAAATAATATATACAATCTCGACTTCCGATAAGATCCTTAGGTCTTTAGCATTTTATTGAAATTATTTGGCTGTATTGACTTAAAAAGGTACTGGGAGCATTGGCTATTGAGCCAACAAATATCTACCACTGACATTTCGTAATTAATAAAAGTAATAAAACTGATTGAAGAGTATCATTATTGTATGGTAACAAACAGTGTTCTCTTTCATTGTTATTATTAGAAAATTAATATGATTATTTCCATTCAATTATTTGGAGTATACGTATAAATCTCTGGTTCTCTGGTTTTACTCTTTCTCTAGTAGAGAAAGAACTAAAGACGAAGCGCACCATGCGTTTCATTTAGTAGTAATTTTCAACAGCATCTTTAGTTTAATAGAGACAGGTACGTCTTTCAATCACAATTAATCATTCGCCATTCTTATGTCATTAGTTTTATACTCCTACTACTCCTTTAGATGAAGGTAGATTTAGTTTTTATGTTAAAGTGAGTAAACATTTCTGTTTACGCTTTTTTATCCACCAGTCACTTTCCGTGCGTCTTGTACCCTTGGCGTTGCTTAGAGATGTGGGGTCTCTCTGCATCTTCTACCGAATTTACCATGGAGAGGGTTCAGAGGAGTTGTTCGGACTAATACCTGCAGCTGAGTTTCATTATCGGACGTCAACGCAGAATACAAAATACCATCTGTATCACCACGACGTCCGTCGTCCTACAACTGAGCGTTTCTTAAGGCAGTTTTTGCCGCGCACCATCCTATGTGGAACCCACGCTCCCAGCTCCGTGGAAATTCGACTTAGGGTCCTTCTAAAAAGAGCGTACCAATTCTTGAAAGGCCGATAACGCACTTGCGAGCCTTCTGGCAATGTAAGTGTCCATGGGCTGGGCGGTATCACTTAACATCAGGTGAGCCTCCTGTCAGTTTGCCTCCTATTACATTAAAAAAAGGATAAGTGAAGCCTTATTTAAGAAGAAACAGTAACCTATTAAAGTAAAACACCATACCCTAAAACAATAACATTTATCCTTTACCGGAGATCGCATTATCATAGGACTTTAATATGAAAAATTCGTGACACAAATTCACTTCTATATACACATAACACTAAAATATTCAAGTGCCATATCGGAAGTTATTTAGAAGGGTTGCCATGTTTATTTCCCGGGATCTGGTAAACAGTGCGTTTTGTCATAAACAAGAGTTATTTTAGTGGTGGGGCGTGCCTCACATTTTGGGAAAACACTTGTCGCGAGCGATTTAATCGCGTTGAGTTTGGAGTTTTGTTTTAACACTACGTTTGTATTGTTTCGTGAAGTTATTTGATTTAATAATAAAAAAATAAGTTTATATTTATATAATTATATAGGAATTATTTATCGATTAATATACATTATATCACACCAGCAGGCCAGTTAGGCTTTACGATAAAATGTAGAGGAAAAATAATACCGTGATTTTACAATGGTTATTCTTTTCATTTAAAAGTGATAGTTATGATAATCAAAATATATTTTACACATCAAAATCGACACTCATAAGGTCGAAATAGTTTAGCGATTTGCGGGTGAAATCCCATGTGACAGTATATGATGTTTCACGAATAGTAAAGCTCTCGTCTAGTAACTTCAATGTTGATCATTACCTGACATCGTCCATCAATGCACATGTCAAGGCTACCAGGCCGGCATCTTGTACCATCCGATACTCTGGGAGCCAGTACAGCCACCACTACACGATCCTCATCATCCAACGTTACTGTCTGAAAAAATGAAGATTCGATTAGGAAATTTGTTAAAATACTGCTATTTAGCAACTCTGTTCACAGAGGGTGTAGGTTCGATTCCTGGCTGCGTATAGTTGCAGCTAGTATGTGCGCATTTAACAGTCGCTCGTGCGGTTAAGGAAAACATCACGTGGAAACCGGCATGTCTTAGACCCAAAAAGCGAAAGTGTGTTTCCGGCACAAATGCCTTTGACGAATAAACAAATTATCACTAAACAGATACCCAGCCCAAAATGTTATATATTCAATATCTTTATAATTATTATTATTAAGCAATGTCTAAGTAGTAATAGTATATATAAGTGTCTTAAGTAACAAATTATATATACATCATAAAATGTAACCTAATGTAGATATAAGTGTGGATGTATAGAATGATCCTATAAATCTACTCAAGCTCATAAACGATATGAAATAAATAGTATAAACTTTCGGTGATGTTTATTTATAGATAAAAATTCTTGACCTATTAAGTTACAAATAAAACTTAACTTAACCAAACATTTTCAATGAAATTCCAGGCCTTGGCTTAGTTCATTACTAAAATTATTTAAATAAACAAGTACCGTAATTGGCATAAACACAAAAATTTGACTTGACGCAAAATTTGGCTTAATTTCCCTGAACTAATTAGATAAATTCAAGACAAGTCTTATAATGAGATGTTTCCATTCAAATATTTATCTACCTTCCAACGAAATTCAGTTTCTCCATTTTATAATACAAACTTTTGTAAGGAATATTTGTACTGCTTATTGTGTTTTACTAGAAATGAATAATGGCCTTTTAATTAATAAAATAAAAAAGCTTCTTTTGTCCGAACACGTGTTGACGACCACTTTACAAACAACTAACGATTATTTGAGAAAATTATCCCATGAATTCCTAAGTTTTATTAATATTTTTTTACATTTTGGTTTACTTTATTTTTAGTTAGTATATTTCTTGTCTTACATGTAATTTTATGTTATTTATTTAATTATTAATACACTTTTTGTACTTAAACCTCAGTTGGTGTTTCTTTTTCCACTAGGGTTGCCTGGAAGAAAGCGCTTTAGCGAAAAGGCCGCCCGTTGCATCAAAATATATGTAACCTGTTTAATGTAACTAAATGCAAATAAATGGGCAGTGATTTCTAACGGATGCCAGTCTTAACAGATGATGATTTAACAGAGATATGAACCCACTATTCGTTCGCCCCATTTTCCTAAAAAAGTTTCAATAGCCTGAATTTAGTAGTTTATTATGTAAGTATAACTCTCAAAAAGTCTTACCGGTTCAGGCTTTAAGCCGGAATGTTGTGGAGTTCCCCGGCATGTCAGCGCACAAGGTTCAGCATCATCACGATGAGCACGCCAGTGGAAGAGTTCACCGCCGTAAGGAGTATTGTCATGTGCACTACACTGCTGCTCCCTCCATATGTCTTCTTCTAGAAGAGACACGTTTGCGCGGCATGGCTATAAAAATATAAATAAATTAAAATAAAATACAGATCACAGATTCTATGCTAGATTAATATTCAAATGCAGTAATTGACTAATAACTCACTATTTATTTTGTTAGCCAAATGCAAAGGCAATTATGTTATACGCCTTCTATATATATATATTTATTTACGCCCGGAGTCAAATTGAAGGAGTCACAAACGAAAAATTTATTTTATGTATTGTCGCTTATTTGCATACGTTAGAAATATTGTAAAGTACAAAGGTTGCTAGATTGATTACATAGCGAGTAATACACATCGTACGAATGAACTAGACTTTCACTGTAATGGAAGAGATGGTGATAAGAACCAAAAAGCACTATTTTGCCAAAGTTTAGACTAGAAATGTGTCTGACCTATGTCCTATGTTAATTAAAACATCCGAGGAGCTTAGCTGGGTTAGTTAACTAATAGATTAGAGGAGGCACTTATGCGGCTTACGTACACTCGCCCCAGAATTACACACGGGAATTAACGAGCTTAAATCAATGATATAAATTCTATTCGAATGAATATATAAAGGTAACATTCACTATTACATCATATGCCGCCCGTAGGACATTTTTACATTTAAAGACAACACTTTTTACCGGGTTGAATTTATGTATTATTATAAATTTACAATTATTTTACATAATTTTAAATTTTTCGACGTTTATGTAGATTTTAATTTGGATATTATCTCAAGATATACAATCCGCAAAAATAGAGGACACCGTGAGCCATTTCTGCCAAGACCCCTCCATCTTTTAGTCGATACCAACTCCGGGGAAATAAATACAGATAATACAACTTTTTCTACAGCTGTGATACTTTTTGACATTCAACACTTTTTGTCTTCAGTCACCACACACGCTGTAAAGCACGCGAAACGTCGGAAAATTTAAAATTATGTCAAAAAATTGTAAATTTATAATAATATGTATCTTCAATCCGGTAAAAAAGTGTTTTCTTTAAATGAAGACAATACTAAATTTTTACATTATTTTTCGTTTACTATATTAGATTTTCATCTCCCTAAACTTCGTCGCCCTTCCGTCTCCTTAAAAATATAATTAAGTAGGACAACAATAAAATTAAAAAATAACATACCAACACGTAACTGGGACGTTTTATGTGTCTAAATAGGCTAATAACTTAGAGGCATAAATAATCTATTTAAATAAAAATGTATTGCAAAATATGTAACTAAGACCGCTGGGCCAATTCGAGCATTTTTTTAATGTGTTAAGATATAGAGAAAAAAGTGGAAAAACTGTAAGGAAAAACCTAAAAACCAGGTTTTTATTCCGGAAGAGCGAACAGTTTCTAGTATTAATTGTATAGTTTGTAGACTTGACAATCAAATATTTTACTTTACGTAAATTGCTTAAACTTTCAAATAAAATCAGCTAAGATATTACGAACTAACTATTAAATATTAGTTTCACCGTACTACGGTTTCTTTACTATTAGTAGTAGCCAAGCCATACCAAAGATTTAAAGTTCACCATAGATTTTTTTTGGGATGCTAAAGAAAAGCACATTAAATTTAGAACTTCCTTATAATTATTATCAATATTAATGTACCGATTACGAAGACTGTTACAAATATTTCTTCAGTATTTGATATTCAGTAAACAGTATTCTATTTTGCGTCGAAATATCTCAAACTTTAATAAGTAGACGCAATACTTTAGAATGATTTATAGAGACCATTGTTCTGATTCCATTTGCATAGAAAAATCCTTGAATAAAGTAGAAATAGCTCGTTGAAGAAACAAAGCATGCGCCAATCAGATTTAAAAGCGTCAGCAGTCAATAAAGTGGGGGCAAATAACATTTCTTATTGTCATTCATTCGGCGTCGAAGCCTCCCTCCCTAACGCCCGCTTAGGGACGGCCTCCATGCTTCTATAATCTTTGAAAAAACTTTCCAGAAGAGGTCTTATATTTGACATATTTTGCTTGTATTGTACCATTAATACTGCATTTGACTAAAACGAAGACTCACGAGAACCAATACTTTAAACTAATATAATGACGTACAAATCAGCATTGAAGGCTTAAGTAAGTAATAATTTAAGATAAATATTATTTTAAAATATTAAAAACTAGTTTAGTATGTAAACAGAGTTAGGTCAAAGATAATATAGTGCATAACAGAATTGACTAAAACTTCATTACTTAGATCTTACGTGTTAAGGTAATTTTAATTATTTTCAAGGACTTAAACTTGCAGTAGTATTAGTAATATTTTCATTATATTCACAACACTTGTATGACTTACATTTTTCTCAGTCGCCATGTAAGCCTAACGTTTAAGGCTCCGTCGCGTCTCAGCAGGGAATTCACGCCGATTAAAGTCATAAGTAGCTTCGGACTGGACGCTTTGTGATGTAAGAGCTTAACTTTGATTTTACGTTTTAATAACTAGCTGTTCACTTAGATAACTTCCATTAATGCGGAAATATGAATTTAAAATAAAACGTATGAGATCGAATCCATTTGAAATGGGTAACAATATTTTTTACGAAAGACATTTTATAAATATGTAAAAGTATACCCATTCAAAATAATACTTATAGAAAATTTAACTTTAATGGCCGTGTATTTTTACCTCTGTACATGAAGGGATTTCTTTTCTATATGCGCAATTGACACTTACTCATACGGTAAAGGTGTACATCGTGTCACTCAGATCCAAAACTTGAACATTGAGACCCATACAGAGCCTTAGCCCCACGAGACCCACAAACATAGTAGCCATAATTTGATTGCTTAGTTCATAATAAATTCTACTATTTATGATCAAAAGAAATCTATATTTAAACGGGTCACACAATCCCATATTGATAAAAAATATACAGATCATACAGAGAACAATATAATGGTATTAGATTACTACTTAAAAATCTTCTTAGAAGTTCTGCGATTATAGGTAAGTGTTTTTTGGTGGTATGTTATTATGTCGTTAATTAGTATATATTATTATGTAGTTTTCTTAAGTATGTGATATTATTATTATCTGCCTTTTGTATTAGATTTTTTCCAAATTGTGTTTAAATGCCTTAGCAAAAGTTAACTACAAAACCTGTCTTTATTTTTCTTATTTCATAAAATGAAATAAGCGTATAACTACGAATTACTAACATAAATAAAATGAACGTAGAATACACGTATTTGAATAAAACTCAAAACATAAATAGGAAAACTTTCAACAAAAATAAGCAAACAATTTATTGACTTCAGAAGTTGGTAGGCAAATTGCGAAGTTTCTCAGCTACTAAATAAATTCTGTGAGGACAGAGGGCTATAATTGCACTGGCCATTAGTCGAGTGCAGTCAACAATCAAGTTAGAAACTTTGAATGTGTGACTGCCCACGTCGTATTTAATCAATATTTAGTTTATGAAATTTGTTGCAGGAATTTTTATAAGTAAGGGATACAGTATCGCTAATATGGATCCGTCAATATAGAAGCTTTTTTTATATTTCTCTAATTTAAAGACAGCGACGTGAGGTTTACATAAAATGCGCATGCTACGATACTCACTAGTGCCGTAATAATCCTTGTTGTAAAACAAAAAATATGAAATAAAGAAAAATAAATTAAAATGTTAAAATATTATGTTAATTTTTTCGTATCGTCGTTTTAAAATATATCTAAATTTAGTGTTTAAACTAAATATTTAATTGACCATATTTAAAAAAAATATCCTGAAGGTTGATGCCGTAACCGGTTCAATACTAGGCAAATGTTTTTTCAAAAATGTTAAAATAAAATATTATTTCTTTTTAAAAAGAGGTATTAGCCTCATTAACTCACTAACTTAAACCCCTTAACTCCCTTTATTGGTAAGACTCGCTACGTGTAACCCGCAGAGGTATACATACTATGGTAGGGTACGAACCGAGCGTTCCTTTCCTTAAATGTTTCTTTGACTACACTTCGTATTGTATAAACAAATGACGGTGGTACATCAACGTTTTTGAACTTAAAACATTGTAACAAACGAACAAATTACCAACAATTCCTACAAGCAATTAAATACGTAAGGCTAAATTAGCCTCCAAAAAAGCTTGGTGTGCTCAGCAAGGCGAGACGGTACTTCACTCCGGGCCACCGCATGCAACTATATAAAGCGCAAATTCGGCCCCACATGGAGTACTGCTCTCACCTCTGGGCGGGGGCTCCCCAGTACCAGCTCCTTCCACTTGACCGTATACAACGCAGAGCGGTTCGAATCGTTGACGACCAATCCCTCTCCGAGCGGCTTGATCCTTTGGCGTTGCGTAGAGATGTGGGGTCACTCTGCATCTTCTACCGCATTTACCATGGAGAGTGTTCAGAGGAGTTGTTCGGATTAATACCTGCAGCTGAGTTTCATCATCGGACGTCGAGGCAGAATACGAAATTCCACCCGTATCACCTCGACGTCCGACGTTCCACAACTGAGCGTTTCTCAAGGCAGTTTTTGCCGCGCACCACCACTATGTGGAACCAGCTGCCCACTGAAGTATTCCCGAACCAATTCGACTTAGGGTCCTTCAAGAAAAGAGCGTACCAATTTTTAAAAGGCCGGCAACGCACTCGCGAGCCCTCTGGCATTGAGAGTGTCCATGGGCGGCGGTATCACTTAACATCAGGTGAGCCTCCTGCCCGTTTGCCCCCCGTTCTATAAAAAAAAAAAAAAAAAAATACGTAACGGTCACGTAAATCATAGGTTTTTATGTGAAAACTAGTTTAGTGGTCCATTCGTTTGAGACCTTAATAAATTGGGGTCGTTCAGTTGTAACTGTAAATCAATATCGCTAATTTCTTATGGTTTATTTTGTTACTGACAACCGCACTTAGAGTTGTATTAAATCACTGTTAGGTTAAGATTAAATGTACGTGTGTGAACTCCTCTTAAACGACTGGATCGATTTGAATGAATGGTTTAGATAGCCCGGCAAATGGTGCTGCAGTCGTATCATATCTAGGTTATTTATTCATACTGTAACTAAATAGCTGGATTTTCAGGTACGTGTCTCGGATAGCTTAATTGGTAGAGCTCTTGGCGCGTAACCAAACGATCTGGGTTCGATTCCCAGATTGAGCAGTCCGAATTATTTTTCGTTTGCCGAAAAAGATTTCCACTGGCTGGCTAATCGCTTGAAATATCATGCAGGACAACGTCTGTCGGGTTCGTTAGTAATCTAATAAAGATTCTAATAAGTTTGTCTATATGATTTAAAAAAACTCTGTTAACTAAATAAGACAATTATTTATTTATTAAAACATCAAACTTAACAAAAGAAAGGCTTTTTAGAAGTATATTAAATTTGACTTGGCATATCCTACGCTAAGGCCGAAATAGAACACATTTGATGTAAAATACAAATTTATAACGTTGATTTCTAGATAAATAACTAGACGTACCTGCATATTACATATCTTGTACCGGACTGGCTCTCCCCTACAACCAACTGGTGATGAGCAGGTTCGAAGCTGTCTTGAAACGCCTCCGTCACACGTCCTTGAACATAGTGACCACTCACTCCACTGTGACCAGCCAGCACGTTCCTACAGATCGAAAAATGCATATAATACATGTTATTGTGATAATGTGGCATAAGGCACATTCCTCGTTTCCTGGCATTTTTAAAGTTTAGTAGTATATATTTGATTTGAAGTACAGTGCAAACACATTCATCTAAAAGTGTCTACACTCGGCCCTTAAAATCAGTGGCGATATCGGGACAATGGTGATGGGGATGAAATCGGCTCGTTGTTCGAATCAGCAGTAGCAGTAGGATTGATAATAAAATTAGGGTACGATTTGCCTACACATGAGGCGATCTAGGGTGCCCACCAACACTACCTTGATATTGCCTCTGATTTTAGGGCCTTCGTTTAGTTTAGTTAGATTTAGGATTATCGTGCTGAATTAAATTTCGATCAAATTCTAGTTTTTACGCTATCTGCTTTAAGCACTAAGCTTAGATAAAGATAATCTACATTATATCTAATATAACATATTAACAGTCTTTAGTGCTTAATAACTTAACAACGTGTGATTAAGTGAATTATACTACATCAACGTTTACCAAGTAAATTCTTTGATAAACAATAGAATATTTGGGCCAGAGCCAAATGTAATGCTAGATTAGCCCAGATTTCAAACTGTGGACAACATTGTCTAGGTGAAATACCAAGTTAAGAATTTATGTTTCCTACGACTACGTAAATCGATAATTTAATTATTATTTTTACGCAATTAACACAGAAATAAAGAATAAGAAAAAATTAGAATTAAGGCATTAGTACAGATTTAATAAGTTCTTAATAGATCCAATCGGAAGCTAAAATTAAACTGACATTTGCGTTAACTTGTGTCTGTAAAGTTAGCTGGTTACTTACTAGATACTTGGATATACTTACTTAAAAATTAAAGTTATGGTAACACACAATAGTTCCTGATATTGTGGTTTGGGCATTTAAATGATAATATGATAATTAAAATTAATAATTTTCTGGGCATTTAAGCCCAGAAAATTATTAATAATTTTAAAGCGTAAAATGTTCTGCCAACCTTTCTTCTTGATTTAGAAAAGTAAGATCTCAATAAAACAACACATACAGATTAAATAGTTCCCTTCAATTATGAAAAAAAAATAATGATTAATTATAAAAAAAATAATGAAGAATGAGAAAAAACTAAATAATAAGCATTTTTATAACAAAATTATGTTATAACTCCGTAGTTAAGATTAGATCTACATATCTAGGAATGACAATTAAAGCTTAGACCAAAACTCTTTTTTTTCAGCAGATGAATAATGACAACATTTTACTGATATCCAAAAATTGAAAATAAAATAATTCTTGGGTCTGACTGAGAACACCATCAACCTAACACCACAATTCCGTATTTCTAGGATAGTAGATAGAGAATTATTGGTTCGTAGAAAATGTTACCTAAACGATAGAATACGTAACTTAGATATTTATATTTTGAACAATATAAGATTTTCATCACGTGTCCGTTTTGCATAATACTGACCAGAATAACAATTATTCTTACAAAGCTTCGAGCATGGAGATTTAACCTTTATATATATACATTAGAGCATTTATTAGCTTGCAGGATTACTAACCATTTAGTAAAGATTTCTAATATATTGGGTGAAATATGGAAAACGGCTTGGGAATAACGTTTATTTATCATCGTTTAAGACACTTGTTCGGGGACGAATAAATTTCGTGGCCTTTTAATATTATTTGGTAATTGATATTTCAATTTATTTATTTATCTATATCACAAAGCTGTTGGTCTAGTGGCTTGAGCAATTTTCATTCCTGAGTAGGATCTCCAGCTGTGTATCCATAGGTATTACTTTCGACGATAACGTGAGGAAACCGGCATGTCTTAGCATCAAAAAGGCGACGGCGTTTGTCAGGCACAAAAGGCTGATCTTGGTTCGACTACTCAGAAAAGATCACAAAACAGATAACGACATATATATTATACATGACAGGATTTTGGCGACACTGACATTTCAGAATATTTTTTTGTGTTTATTTATCAAGTAAGACTTTACTGATCACGCTTAATGCTAATTTATATCTACGGAGTACCTCGGACTCGACAGACGTTCTCCTGTACATACGTCTTAAATACAAAAAAATAAACTTCAAAATCATCTAATTGTAAATCAAAACCATTCCGCATGCAGTCATCTGAATGCGCACCGTCTTAGAACGGAATAAGGTCTCCAATATAGGTTTTAATAAGTCAATATAAAAGTAACACTAGGGGTCTGTTCGAAAATATCATAATTCAAAACAAAAAATCCTATTTGTCTAGGATATTATACTTTCCTACAAATAAACAAAATAAACAGGATAATGTATAAGCCAATTTTCTCACAAATATCATGGAATCCGTGAAACACGAACATGATACAATTTACATAAACACAAGGAGAATGGAGAAATCGAGAAAAATTAGCTTTCTCGCTTGTAGTGATGTTGACGTTCCTTCGATATTTCTTAGGAGCAAACACACTTTTACTGATTGGTTAAATTACAATGATACTCAAGTGGTCAGTTCTAAGAAGGATGCAATACCATCAACGTGATTACTGAAACAAACTTCTACCATAGAACTATAACCAATAAACATAGTCAAATTAACTGTATGGCTACATTAACATTAACAATATTACTCTTATATATTATATCGAAAAACAAATAATATTGTAGTAGTTCACGTAGAATGTTGATATTTCCTTATAATTAATGCAAAAACTTATAACAAAATTATGAACAAAAAGTGAAAAAGATATTAGGTACATTACCTTTTAATTAAGGGTTAAATTCCATTCCAGACAATGAGTTAAAATCGTCTTGTAGGAAAATAATCTATGGTATCGCTAATTAGTCACTTATGGTTATAAAAACAATATAATACAAATAAAACCTGTTATCCATACACATTAGTATCGATAAGTTGACAACACTACACGTAAAAAGCAATTGACTCCTGTCTGACGTTATCCAATTACAAAGCTTTTGATTTACATTTATTATTTTTAAACATCCTGTTCGTCATAATGATGAGAACAATTCTTGCCAAAAATTAGTAAGATATTGTTACGCCTGTATGCTGTTTAGGTTTTGTTTTTCAAAACTGATATAATGGAAAATAGCTTATGTTTTAACGCTTTTTTTATACGGGTATCACATGACAGAAATTAGTACAACCCTAATAAGTAATCTATGCTCACCAGTGACAGTTTCAAACTTAGTGACGTATATGTCAACGTTAATGTTAGTTTTTGACAACTAGAACACGTCCATATTACACACAATAGGTTTAGTTAGTTATTAATTCTGGAGTTGTTTTTTTATACCTGCAATAATTTATTGTTACTATCCCACGTTAATTATTAGATTTTCGGATTAACGGTACGGAATCTATGGAATTCGATTCGATAGAGGACAAAATTAATATCGATTGTTCAGTTATGCTGCAGTGCTCGATAATGCAATGCAATGACTCGAAGCGGAACTTATTTACAAAATTATTTAAACTAATTGAAATAAAAAAATGCATAAAACATTTAAAACTGAAGACAAGTTCAGTATCTCGTATATAACCGAATATGCTTGGCCTTCGATAATTTATTAATTAGCCCAACTTATGGTCGAAGGTACTATCAACAACGGAATCGATTGGTTAATAAAGGTTAACAGTTCCCAGTGAAATGTTAAAAACAAAAGCCTTTAAGAAAAAGAAAATGTTACGATGAAAGTGATAAAACGTCAATTAAAATCCCTCAATGCCGTATTTTCTTGCTGGCAACACAACTGAATTGTATATTTGTCAAGCACATAATTGGCGCCAAAATAGAGCTGTTTCTTTCGCCACTTAACCTAAAATTCAGTTTTATTATAGTACTGTAAGTTGTAATCACGAAAATACCTTAAATGTTTTATGATAAAGCGATGTTTATGTGTTAGTTACCTAATTTTACATATACATTTGTTTTAATAAGTATAAGTATTGTATGGTTCCTATAATTTGGCTGTGTTTTGATTACAATATATGAAAATCTAATAACGCACACATAGATGACGGGTTTATTTTGTTACATATGTTTTAAGTTTCACCATTCATATACTCGTAATTGCAGTTCGGAGAAACTTTTGTGATCGAACGTGAGGAATTAATATAGGTATTCGGTAATTTTTTAAATACATTATTTTATTGGTCAACAATACATCATTATTTGGAGAAATACTTCTAACTTAATAACTTAAAACATAAATAATTGTTGAACACGGTGTACTCATTGCTTTCCACTTTTTAAACTTTTTATTTTTTCTGTAATTTTATATCGGGTTGTCCGAGTTACTTTACTAGCATAAAGGCGTTGTTATAATAATGTTTCTTAAAACTGTATTATCTTGTATGTAATGAATAAAACACACGCGAACGAAAATTTCACAGCTAAAAATCTGTGCGGAATTTTACATTCACAAATGCTAGTTTCAACAAAAGCGACTAACAATAAGCATTGTAATAAATATTCTTTTGCTATTTTTCCTTAACGACGACATATTTTAACATATTTATATCGTGATTTTACCTACCGGTTCTATTCTTGACAAACGTAACGAGCCTCTGGCTAAAATCTTTTGTGGCATTTCGTTTCTGTATAAAAATAATCTTTTTTAAAATCTGCTTTTTGCTTTCACTACGAATAGTTCGGCTTGAGCGTAGCAATAAAAAACTGTAAATGTCAACGTGATGACTACCTTCAAGAACAACTTTCTCTAGTTTTCTCACAAATTTTAAATAGTATATAGGGAAATGAAAACCAAGATAGTAGACCTTCACTATGGACGCCCCCTGCCCATTATTACTATTGCCCACCTTAAGACCGGGTTCGTTATTCATAATACTATTTTAGATATTTAAACCAATACGGTTTAAGTTATTTTTTTCACTATAAGGAAAATACTTTTAAATTTAGAACTGCGTCCTTTTTATTTTAAATCATATTAATCATATTTCAAAATACAATCAAAACGTTAG